ATCGGAATAATATCATTCCGACGGATTGGCCGCTTCTGTCGCAAGATCACAGCCCGCTGCTCAGCGATCACCGACTGAGCGTGCCGCAAAGGTTGAGTGACGGTGGAGCTGTACAACCGCACCGACTCCTGCAGCTGCTCGAAATGCTTGGAAGCGATGCCCTGAATAGTGACAAACGCTGCATCCCTCTCGGAAATGGATCGGAGAAGGACGTCGATCTCGGCGTCTCGATCCAAGACTTGCTGATGATGGAGCTGGGCCTGACCCAACGCAGCGTCAACCTTGCTCTGCTCAGCTGCGATAGCCCGAGCAAGTTTTGCTTCACTTAGAGCTACAGCCTTTCGCAGTGAAGCAAGGAGATTAGCCGACTGCGCGGCAGCAGCCTCCAATCGAGACACTTGCTGTTGAGCCGACGAGAGCTGAGTTGACAAGTCGACGTTGCTGAGAGCAAGCGAGTCCAGTCGCCGAGTCAGTGCGCGGTTCTCCTCCTGAACAGCTTGATTGTCAGCTCGGAGATCGCCGATGATCTTTGGATAATCAAGAGCGGCGTAGTTGCCTTTCAAGATATCCAGCAGTTCCCCCGCGGAAGCAGCATGCAAGATCGCTCGCCGCTGCACGGGTGTCGGAGGGCTCCACGGAACGAGTAAATCCGTAAGCCATGAGCCTCGCCAAAAAGGTCAATTCTTCTCGGCGCTCGATTCCTTGCTCGTTAACTCTGGTCAGGAGGGAGTCAAGACTCACTGGAGCAGCCGAGCTTGGCTGACTGGTGGCGCCCGAAGTGGTGTCGCCCGGCAAGCTCGGTGTACCAGGAAGGCGTACGCGAGAAGACCCCGCCGACTCCGCGTCAGACTCATGAGAAGCTGTCAGGTCAACCAACCTAGCCTCAGGCCGGTCGCTGACCCCACGAGTACCGACGGGTCGAGGTATCGACTCAGCTGGCACGCCTTCACCTCGACGAGGAGTTGGAGAAGAAGGATGGCGCCGCGAGTTGTGCTGGAGTAACATGCGAGGAGTAAGGAGCTGCCAAGTGAGTGACAGAGGAAGTAACGAGCGTACCGAAGAAGGTGGTGGAGAGCCGCGAGACGTCACCAGCCGAGTACGGACCAACGGTGGCAGAACCAAATGAAGGATTAAGACACTCACCAGCTCGGCTCGTATCATAACCGGGGCAGTTGTGGTGTAGGGATTTCCAGATTCGACCATACGCCGACCTACTTTAGGTCAAGAATCGGCTCGGTCTGATAACCCAGAGCTTAAGAACAAAGGATCACGGTAAGTACTCGGCGATCTGTCCGGATGCTATCCGGATAGCCGCTGAGCTCAACGGTCGCCCGAGCTCAGCTGAAGGGTCGGTAGAGGTCCGAAACGACTACATTTCACTAGATATTTGTATAGGAAGCATAGGATTAAATAGGGGGAGCCGAAAGGGCTCCCAGAAGATAACAGAGCAGAATTTTTCTAGTCCAAGACACGTGTACACTTTTCCGGTAAGTCCCTGCATAGGGCTGGATTATGCCTGCCGTCAGTACTCGAGAGGCATAGCTTGTAGGGTAGCGCCAAGAGATTAGGTCGGTCCGGGTAGGACAAAGTCTCGCTACGCGCGAAAGAAAGTCCCTCATACTTAGCGGGCCGGTACGTCGGATAGCCCGGGTGCCGAAACACTTCTAGCTGAGCAGCCTCTGCGCTCATTGACCTGTAAAATCGCTCGCGCGCCGTCGTCCATCCTTTGGTGGAGGGCACAGGGTTGTGAACGAGCTCAGCCGAACCAAACTCGGCGGAGCCTCGGAAGTGATCTGACTTGGTTAGTCGGAACCGAGTGGAAGCGAGCCACTCGTCTGTCCAGGAAGGGCCGGACCGCGAGGGGACCACCCTCTGCGCAGGCCATACAAACCGCCGACCTAACTCGGCGATTCGTTGTGGTTTGTGTAAGGAATCCACATCTGACGGTATTTGTGTGTTCTACTACACCACAGTGAGCTGTGCCAAGTGATAATAGCTCGCCATGACGGCGGGTTTACGCACATGTTCCTGAAAACCCAGCGGAACGTTATGTGTCGGTCAGGATCGCTATACACGTTGTGTACTGAGCACTTAACCTGGCAGGCGTGATGATAGTGCAGGATGTAAGATATAAAAATCAAAAACCAATCAGGAGGAAGAAGGTCCAGAAACTACCCGATATCCCCTGTGCGCCGTGGTTCTCGCTGGTTAGTCACTGAAAACTCAGCACTACTAGCCACAAGCAAAGACTACAGTGTTCTTCCTTTATCTCAAATATACCCCGTGGTCGATAAGGATAGGGTACCGGACGTGTTTCAGACCTCACACGGTGCTGTCGGAGTCAAGCTCCGAACGGTAAGTAATATATGGATAGCGCACTAGCTTATCCAACACACAGCGATAATTCGCTCTCAATATAAGGCCAAACCTATTGGCTCTACCGGATGAGCACACACCACGACCAGTAGCTTGTTCACCGACAGTCATTTCCAGCCTACCGGAACTATCGTGCCACTACCGCGTACTCACCAATAGTCGGACGTGCCCTTGTGTGGTTGGGAGTAGATGATGTTCTGTTCTGTGAGCACAACGGCTCTTAATGTAAATATTTAAACCCTACTCTTAATCAATACAAACATCAAGAATAGGCATGTCCGTTTTAAATCTTCCAAAACCACCACCGACGACTCAGAGAGTCGCAGGACCTCGAACCGTTGCCCCACAGCCGTCGCATCTGGCGCTGTATCGTGAGCTGTGCCAAGTGATAATAGCTCGCCATGACGGCGGGTTTACTCACATGTTCCTAAAAACCCAGCGGAACCTTATGTGTCGGTCGGAATTGCTACACGTTGTTTACTGAGCACTTAACCTGGCAGGCGTGATGATAGTGTGTGTGATGTGTGCTATAAAAATCAAAAACCAATCAGGAGGAAAACGGGCCAAAATATTCGCGGCACATGAATGGGAATTCTTTTAGCCTAGGGACGTGCTGGATTAACGCCTTAGCGGCTTACTTGGTGGGCAAACCGACACAACCATCCGGGCCCCTCTTTCCAGGATTCGAACAGAAGGCTAGATTTGGCAATATTCTTCGCAACCTAATGAAGGAGTTCAAACACCATACACACTTTAAAACACACTCGATTCGGAAAGAAGTGGCAACTTTTGCTTGCAGCAGCTCTACAGGGGCTTCTATTGTCAGTGTCAGCCTGGTCACTTGGGGGCGTACAAGACCGTTTTATTAGATACGAGTCAGATGAAGATCAGTTTTTAAGCCTCGTAGTTGCTGGTCTTCCCCCGAATCGACATGATTTCGCTGCTCTGCCGCCGTACTTCAAGGATAATGAGGATTTTATTATTGCTGCATGTGTCAATGACATGCATCCTGCGATTCAAGATGACAGCGGAATTCGTAATATTCTCCGATTATGCGCTGCGTCATTTGTAAAACATTCAGCCCATTTTCGCAAAGTACTGCCTACATCGCACCCTCTTTTGTCTACGACCCTTTTTTGGGACAATGGAGTGATGGCCAAGCTTTATGGTTAACTAGGTTTTGGTGACTCTCCGTGGTTGAGCCCAACAGGGATCCCGCTACACGCTAAGCTGTACAAACATCTTCAACAAGTGCAGCAATTAATTGACAATCTACCCCCTGTGCTGCTAGACGGCATAAGCGCTCTAATTGAGAAGAAAGGCGTAGCAGCGCGCAACATTATAAGGACTTATTTGAGTCTATTATTGAGAGCCTACTGAAGCGTACTGGATTCGACAACACCCGAACAACAGGCACAGTGTTGCCATTCCGAATCAATGGACCACGAGGGCTCACTAATATGATGGCAAGTTCCACATGCTACCCAAAACGTTTGACTTTTCCAAGGTCGGAGCGTACGGTGCACGGCAACTATGGTGGTTTGGGGACAAGGCAAGAAACGATCCACCACTAAGACGCATTGGAGCACATTATCTTTCTCGAGTACAATGCGCATAGACTTTAAAGGCTGGGCATAGCTAATAAACCAAATTGCCCAAGCTGTATTGGAGTGTGGGTACACAGCTACTCAGGATATGACCGAGCAGGAATGGGTAGCGTGGCTTCTACCATCAGCCCGCATGCGCGGGTTTTCTGAGTTAGCACTTGAAACCACCCTACGACTTGATCGGTAAGCAGTGCAAACACAGTGCTATGTAATAAACCAAAAAGATACAAATATCATTTAATAATGAGTAAATTTTTGTTGATCGCCAGCATTGGTGATAGGCCGTTTTCCATGAAGCAGCTATTCCGAAGAGCTATTTTAATTATGCAGATTTATTGTAATACCGGTAGCTATTTTAGCGAAATTTGTTTTTCAACTTGAACACGGTAAATTCTTGATATCACCGGTATGTACTTTAATGACATTCCAACAGAGTCGGCAGGCCACCTTCGCTCAAGATTCATCAATACACTCCGCGCCACATTAGATCACGCACCCACGTCGGTGGCTGTAGCTCTCTCAATTATTAGAGTTTGGCCGTGGTATTTAGCTATATTGTTCCTGTTAGCCACAGTTGGCCCCGCTCGTCGGTCACCATCTCCCACCCCATACAATGTTGATACGTTCATGTACACTAGACACGATCATTACGATACATAATACCTGAGTTCAGTATACTAAGGCGTGCGTGGTTAATGTGTCGCAGTGCCAAAATTAATTGTTTGTATTGAAGCCCTGGTGTAATATTCAAAATCGCAATCATTAGCACGTGTAGCCGATTTTGTGCGATAACAGGAGCAACATGTCTATATAGCACTTCAAACCCTAAAAATTGAGAGAGCTACAGCCACTGACGTGGGTGCGTGATCGAATGTGGCGCGGGGTGTAGCGTTACTTCGTTCACTTACGCAACCCCAAAACAACCTCATGCAAAAATATGTTAGCCAATCAGAATCAAATATATCGTTTACACAATATCAGCTACTCAGGGCTTAAGTTACAATTACAATCCCAAACATGCCGAAGGCGTCTTACGGCAGCGCCACAACCAAGCAGTGCGAGCTGTGCGAGAAGGCAATATCTCGCACGAACTTCTCCAAGCACAAGAAGAGATGCAAGGGCATTAACGTGCGCGACTCTCGGAGTGATATCCGGAAGAGGTCGTGGAATAAGCACCGCGACAAGCGTGTCGGAGAGCAACGCAACCGCCGCGCTAGTAATTTGTTCGAAGAAACTTGAAGGTGCCATATATTAACAAAATGTGAAAGTTGGATAATGTTTTTTTACAATTTAATCTATCGAAACCAGGGCTCCGACAGAAGCTATGCGAACTACAGGGAAATCGCTTCCCCCTAAACCCGAGCCAAAAGGACTACGGAAGCACCCACTAGAGGCCCTAAGTAGTAACGCAGCCTTATTCGACTTCATTTTTTCGAAGGTATGTCTATTGAGCAGCAGTTTTTATGCTCTATATTGACGGACGTACCGTGCTATAGATGGAGAACGTTGACCTATTGTCATAGCTATGGTTAAAAAAATTCTTACTCTTATTGCACCCTGACAAGCGCCATTGGGTACCGCTAGTGCTGCGTACAGGGTCGGGCACGGCACATATTAAGGAGACATGCATGGCAATGAGTGCGTACAAGGCGTAATAATTACGGCAGATGATCACACGGTTTTTGGAGAGAGAATATCTCCTCAAAATATTTGGACTACCTCAAGACAAGATACCGTGAAAAGGTAAGCACACGGCAGGAGGTGTATCAGAAGGTACGCGACCAGAATACCGTGCTACTTCCTCTGATTGATAATGATTGCAGGTTTCGGACATTTTGATTAATAACACAGCTAGAACTACGTATTTACAACTCTAATTGGCTTAAATCAAAGCCACAGATCCCCTCTTTCCATAGCCACCGGATTCACCTCCAACGGATACGTGTAGCTTTTACCATTACAAGTTTTGCGCCGCGAGAATCAAGTGCAATCTGAAGCCACACCCGCCACAACTGCAATTTTGCCCACCTCCACTTCAAACATGTCCAAGCCTAATTTAACAGATATCGAGCGCAAGCCATCATTGACGAACTTTTAAAGCTGAGTGACAACGGCGTTTTGCCCTCCGGAGTGTACTTTAAGGTTAGTCTGAAATTTAGCTCTGCACCCGTCGTATTTGACTGCGGTACACCGTTGTCGTCGCCGAAGGTGTCGTAGGGGGTGTATGGTCCAGCCAGATCAATGAGAAGTGCGGTAGGAAGCGAAAAAAAAAACCGCGATGGGGTGCGAGAGAAGCTTGCAAAAGTTCCTGTTGAAGAGCGTTCGGTTAAGCGTCGCGTCGCTGAGACTGCTCACTGAATCTCCAGATATCGCGTACGTCGGGCGGTGAGCGAAGGATCGTATCACCAAAAACAACGTTCATCAAACCAGCTTTAACTGGCCAAAACAAGCTACAGCGTGTCGAGCACGCATTGTCGGACATCGACGATACAATTGAGCCTATGACCAAAAAACTCCTAACCTGGCATATTGCCTTCCTACAATCATTTTCAACCACAACTTTTAGTCTTGTAATAAAACCTAGTTTTTTGTCTTGTTTCACTTTCTTTTTGCACTCATGTTTTTTTCGAGAAAAAAAACAACCTTCAAATCTTTTGAGGATTTACATTTTTTTGGATGCTAGAAAGTGTGCTATGATTCGTCATGCACTCGAGAGTTGCATGCTTTGTTGTTATAAAACACGGGCGTTACTTCAGGCCAAGTTCTAATACAACGACAAGTAAGCTTCCTTTCCCTCATATTTGCAGCTCACACTGAAGCCTGATCAGGGTTAGCGTAGCCATACAAATTAGTAGTATCTATTATTAACCTAACCCTCTATTTCGTCAACGGAAGCGCTGCTTCATAAAAGTACCGGTATTTACGGCTTTTCTGCAACCGGTGTAAAAAGTACCTTTCAAGTCAAAACCGCGGAAAGCGTAAAATCTCGCACAAAATACTACTGTCCATTAGAAACCGTCGCTTTGCTAACAAAAATGTACGAAAGGGCGCGCTTTAACTGGGACACTGTTTTGATGCCAGGTGCTGCAGATTTTGTACGGACCACTGATTGCAAAAAATCGATCGGTTGCAAAATACCGTAAATTCCGGTGCCGGTAGTAATATGGTAAATTCCGCCACCTGAGCAGAAATGCGATAACGTGCATTTGCACCATCAACAGATCGCACGTTGACGCGATTTTACATGTACACTGTACTGGGGCAAATATTAATAAATGCAGTTTTAGAACCTGTTTTTAGTACGTCTGTACTCAAAAGTGTTAAGCAAACAAGGGGTGCTGGAACACACAACTAACGTTACTTCGTACTGTACGATTCTTCGTAGGCCTAGGCGCGTCTCTCATTCGACATGCAGGCTGTCTACTTGTAAACGGGGATGCACTCCTTGTACACCTGCCAGGAGTACTTGCCCTTGAGCTTGCGCACACCCAGCCAGTACCAATAGATGATGCAGCTATCACCGCAGCCGCTGTAGTCCAGCTTGAACGTTTGTGTGGAGATTGGCGTGTCGAGCTCCGCCTGATTACACAGTTCTGAGGAACTTGCTTCTACTGTTACTGTATAGTATACGTGGGACGAGCGTAATTTTACGCGACAGGTAGTGTATACTGCGTGTATAAGAGAGAGGGGGTTGTCACCTTCGAGGTTTCCTCCTCTAATCCCATTCCTTCTCTGTGGGCAACAAGCTCAAGTGTTCCTGCGTTTCCTTCTCTTGTCTCGCGTTCAGCTCTACACTACTGCGGTACCCCGCTAGGTTATGAGCCCAAGCTTCTGTGTGGAGTTACCAGAGAACGTTGAGTACAACACAGTCGAGAATGTCCAGTACGTCGCTTCCGAGTTCAAGTTCTACAACTGGAACTGCCGTTCCTTCGATCGCTACTGCTACGTCGTTGATGACCTCTGCTGAAGCCACGACGACACAGATACCGGTAACTTCAGCTACGTCTACACAAGTTGTGTCATGTGTGACGAGTGGAGTCTCTGGAGTTGTATCTACAGCTACTGCGGGAGCTGTGACTACCGGTGGAATGTCTGGTGGAGTCGCTAGCGGTGTTGCTAGTGTTCCTGGAGTTAGTGGTGAAGGATATAACGTTGGTGGCTTTAATTTTGGAGGAATTACACCAGGGCAAGGTGGATTTGGCCTGCCTCGTGTTGGCTTTGGCGCGTTGCCAGTGAAAATGGACAATGTACCTAAAATGAAAGGAAGTTTTGATCTGTATGCAGTTCACTTGCGAGCGTTTTTGACTCGGCTGAATTGTTGGAGTGTGGTTGACGGTAGTTTCGATCCGAATGATCCAGTCGAACAGATTAACTTCGCTGCCAGGGATAACATCGCCCGTGAAGCTATTTGGTCTGGTGTTCCAGCTCAAGATGCAGAGATGATTTGTCAAGAGGAGACTGCTCAAGCGATGTGGAATTCATTTGTGGATAAACAAACTAAACGCGAATATTCCAACTACATTTTTGCTAGAGCAGAGTTTTATTCGCACGTGTATACAGCGGATAAGGGCATGGATCAATGGTTACGCAAGATGGAGTCAATGCGACGCTAATTGCTACACTATGGTAGACGTGTGACGGATAAAGACTATGCTGAGACTCTTCTTGGTCATGTGGCACGAACACATCGTGATGTTGTTCGTCAATTCTCTAAACACTATGTAATTCGAGGTGATGGTGCATCAGTCCGACCTGTACCTACTGCGACTCAGGTGATGAACGCCTTACGCGCTGAGTCAGCTCTGGATGAGAAGATTGGCTCGGAGGAGCAGTTGCCTGCTGGAATTGCTGCATGTGGACGCGAGTCTACACAACACAAAGAGAAGAAGCAAGATATAGGTAAAGGCAAGCGCAAAAGAAATTTTCGTGGTAAAAAGCAGAAGGATGCTAAACAAGTTGGCAAGAAAACTGGAAAGCAAGAGACGCGTACCTGTTTTCTCTGTGGAGAAGTTGGTCACCTACGTCCAAACTGCTCGAATCGTGATGAAGGTTCATCTGATGATCGAGCAGCTGGAATTCCGTCTGAAGGTTTGGAGCGCAAACGTTGGCAATACCGGTCTGGTGGTGACTGTAAAAGTAAGAGGAAGGAGAAGAAGATTAGTGCTGTTGGATGTATTTCTCGCGAGTCATTGATGGTTGCTTCGGTGTCGAATGCAGCAAGTGATGACATTGAGTGGGCTTTGGATTCTGCAAGTGATGTACATGTGTGTAACCAGCTGGAGTTGCTGTCTCAATTGCAGCAAGACTCCAAGCACGTCTTTCAGGGCTATGATGGTAATATTACTGATAACGAGAGAATTGGTAATGTGAGCATCAAGGTGATGAGCAACAACCAGCCGCATCAAGAAGTATCACTGCAACTGGAGAACGCTCTGTTGAAGTCTTCAGCTCCGAATAATCTTCTGAGTCTTGATGCACTGCAGAACGCTGGATGGTCGTTGAAGACAGCTCGACGTGATTCACAACGTATTGCTTGGCTGACAAAAGGTCGTCTACAGCTACTGTTTGTGAAGTCTCGTGGTAGATACCGCTTGAAGACAACTGCTAGTGCAGTTTATCATGTTCCAGCAGTGAACCAGCGTGACCGTAGAGAAGCTGCAACGTCGCTTATACGTTGGCATCTCCGGTTTGCACATCTAAACCTCCCAGCTCTACAGCAAATGGCAAAACAGCAAGTTACAACCGGAATGGAAGAGAACTTGAATGATGATGTTGAAATTCCTTGTTGGAGTTGCAAGTCGGCGAAGATGACTCGGATGTCATACAAGAAGACCTTGACTCGCCGTGCTACCAAGCCTTATCAGAAGCTGATGTCTGATATGTGCTACGTTGGTATTGCGACCTATGATGGGGGTAACATTTGTGCTTCGAGTGCTTTGAATAGAGAGACGCCATACTTTCGACGCTTTGAAGAGCGGCCGGATGTATCTGCGTTGCGTACATGGGGTTGTTTGACTTACGTTTTCACACCAAAGGTGCTTCGTATGTCGAAACTGGAGAATCCTGGCAAACCTGCATTGTTCATGGGGTACGCCAAGCACTCAGAAAGTTATCGTGTGTTGAGTTTGGTAACTGGTAATATTCAAGAGGTTCGTTCTGTGGACTTTCATGAAGACTGGACGGTGGAACGCAGCTACGTAGAAGGCTTGCTGAACAATCGCTACAATAAAGGGCATCAA